TCCCTGCCGCATCGCCCGCTCCCCACGCCGAGCCGGGGCAGTTCTTCGGACAACCTGGGATATGGATTCGCTGACAAGAAACGCTGAGCTCTGTCGAATGACTCCTGCCTAAGCTCCTGACCAAATTCAAGCTGTGCACTACATCAAAGTCTGAAACTTCACTTAAAAAGAAAATAAAAAAAGAGGTTAAAAAAAAAAAGGGAACTTCAGCAGAGAATGAGGTTTGGGGTTTGTTTTGTTTTGTTTTTTTGTTGGTTTTTTTTGTTTGTTTTTTGTTTTGTTTTGTTTTTCCTTCTTTCTGTTGTGGGAGGGGGCATGAGGCGAAAGTCCTGGTTCTGAAGTACACAACAGCAAACTTCCAACATGAAGAGATTGTCGAGGGGAGAGACATTGGTGTGTCGTATTGCTCCGCTTTCCCTCCTCCCCCCACCTAGACCCCTGCCCCGGACACCCTGCAGAGTGAGAATACAATGAAACTGGTTTGTATTTATAGATATTTTACAAGGTTAAATAAGAACAACAATAATAATAATAAAAAATTGAACACTAAAATGAACAGGTTGGTTGGTTTTGTTTTGTGGTTTGGTGTGGTTTTTTTTTTCCTCTTTTTAATTTTCTTTCCAAATGTGACCAGTGTTGCTGAGCAAGACTCAAATTACTGGTGATTTTTCCTGTGCAGCTGGCTGCTTGGTACCGGTTCAGGTGGAGTTGGAGGCTGATGCTGTAGCTACACTATTGGTCTGAACTCGTTCTCCTGCGTTAACATCTGCAAAGGACAGGTGAGAGGAAGGGAAGAGAGAAAAAAACAACCAGCATTACCTCCAAAATACAGACACATTTGGAACAGCCATGACATTCTCTGCAGAGGGAAACCCACAACTCCCACTGAGACGCTGCTTGGTTAGAATGCTCTCCTGACTTCAAGGGGTGTAGATGAACAGCTCAGGGGAGAGGGTGAGAGGACAGTCTTTAGGCAGGTCAATGGGAGGACAACTCTCAAGGGCTGAGGGTTGCAGGCCAACATGCAAACACCCAGCTGGGTTCTAGCAGATTTTTGCAGGACGTAACGTTGCCCGTGTGTAAGTCAGTCGCCCATGTTACATTCTAGTAGCTAACTGCAGGATGAGGCACACTAGCGTCACCTAACCTAATGCATCAAGGATACGTGGCTTCTACAACGTTCCACGTTGGTGCTGAAGTTTCATATTGTGAGGTATTCTTGTCACTAAGCTGCCTGTTGATTGTGTGAAAGAGCACAGGCAATGAACACGACCAGCCTGCTTCCCTTGCAGAAACAGCTTGTGTGTTCGTGCGTAACTTATGCACTTGTTGCCTCAGAAAACATCTTTCAAGTCCACTGCTTTATTCGGTGTTGCTCAACCCGAGTTGGATCTGCCACCCTCTGAACTGCTGAAGCAGATTACCATCAAGGCCTGAAGCCGATAACGAGGCTTACGCAAGCATGTGACACTGTTAGAGGATGGAGGCTGCAGCGAAAGGTCTCCAACACCACCTCTGCTCTGGGGGGGACAGTGCTCCACCAAGAGACGTGTCACGGGATCATGGGCACGTGCCAAAGCACGTTCCAAGAAAACACAGAGTTTGCAAAGAAATACACCAAAAGGAAGCTCACCATAACTGTGTTTTCATGGGCCATGTGGATCAGTTAGTTACCTTCTCTAAAATAAATTGTTCTTAGCACTAGAAGAGCTGGTAGGGGGAAAAACTAAAAAATGCACTGATTTCATCTGAAACCATCTTATGTAGTATCTAATTAGCATGGTCACAAAAAGATAGGTAGATGAGTGTTTAAATACATAAAATACTCAAGATAATAAATACAGAATGGGAAAAAGATATTAAGTGAGGTTTTCTACAAGAGACCATCATGCCTTTCTCCCACTTAATTTAAGTAAGGTTAACTGCAAAGCTATCAATACTGCAACAGAAAAAAGAAAGGCTTATTATCTCGGCAGATAAAGGGCAGACTGGGCAAACAGTGCATTCAAAAAGACACAGGGAAAAAGGGCTCAAAAAGAAAGAACAGATTTACTGACCTCAGGCTGAAGGACAGTATGACTAGCATAAATAATAGACAGGACGAAAGAACTGGTGGGCATTGGGGGTGCAGTAAAACTTCTCCATCACAGAAGAGGGCAGCGCAGCTGGGCAGTGCTCCAGTCACCTGCTAAGGAAAGCCCCTCCTCTCCTGCCACCTTGTAGGAAGTGCAGCCATGAGCAAAGGCCATGAAATGAGTCAGAGTCTAGAGACCGCAGCACTTGCTGAGCAACCAGTTAAGTAATATACACAGGAATCAGCAACAAAAATAGAAAATCAAACAAAGAGCAGCATCCAGCAATACAAGGGACAAGTGGGAAGAGAGGATGATGCCTATTTGAAAAGGAAATGCTGTGAGGAGTGTGTAGGAAGAAACCGAAATTCTCCTGTGGGCAGAGGATGCCAGATGACTGCTCTGGGAGTTTCCTATTCCCTTTCCTCTTGCCCGCAGTTAATCTGCAGCCCTTCCCTCACAAAAGAATGACCACCATGATAAAAAACTCTAGTGCAGCTCAAGCACCAAGGCAACATGACGATAGTGCCAATGTCGTTCGGAAAGCTAGCCTGGTATGTGAGAGATGCCCTGCTGGCATGGAAGACTTCCCTGAAGGAGCAACTCCCAAAGTCCACATATATGTAGACCAGTGATGGCCATGGAAATCAAAAGTGACGCAGCCAGACACCTAATAGTTTGCACCCTGTAAACTCTCACTGTGCCTGTTCTAGATTAATTTGCAGGTATGGATAAACGCCAGTTAATGCAACATCTGCCATGCCTGATGTGAGCAGTCCAGCTGGGGTCTGTGCTACTGGCAGAGGATTTCTCTGTATGTGTACAAAAAGTGCTTGTATTTCATTTGCTGAAATGACACGTGCCTTTTGATCTTCTATTCCTGAAGACAGCAGAGGCTGAATTTGTTATCATTACATTGCTACTGAGCAGAGACAAAGAAAAAAGAGAAGGGGATGGAGTCACTTCATGTAACATATGCTCCTTTTCTATCATCACTCTAATGAGGGAGTTCCTGAGAAATACGTATGCCACATGTTAAAAAGGAAATAAACCAGGTGATGCAGCCCAAGACCATTCATGTGGAGCTTTTCACAACAGTACAGACAAGTCCACCCAGGCTGGGACAGAGTGCAGAGCCTGCTCAAGGCTGTACTGGCTCCAAACGGGCAAGAACATGAAGTATTTTGACATTCCAGCTTGCTCTTTGCCTCTGCATTGACAGGATGTTTGGGGAACAAGAGCGGCTTGTTCCAGCATGTCTTTGCTGAAGTGACAGAAAAAGGGCACACCTGGGAGCATGAGGGTCTGTGGACACTCACTCCCATCTCACCATGAGAAGTCAGTATCTGGCATACAAGAAGAAAATCCAGGCCTTCAGCAGTGCTGCTAAAACATCTGTTTTGCAAAGCAGTGGCCTGTACCACCTCTGGGGAGTGAAGCTAGGAGATGACGTGCAGTTTTCTGGTATGGGTGACTACACAGCAGACTGTGGCTTGAGGTCAGGGCAGCCTCTTTGTCCTAAATCACGCACCTAACACCTCTGCCTGTACAGGCAAAGAAACCACATTAGAGCTTAAGTGTCATCCACTTCCCAAAGTTCTTCCAAACAGAGGGCAAAAGTGTATCTCATCAATGTAGAGCATCTCCTCCGATTCATCTTCTCCCTCTGAGGAAAGCCTCCGCTTTCTTGGAGGGTATGTGACACTCAGAAAACTCCCTGAAAGGAAAGATGGGGCTACAGTTCAGAGAAAGACAGAGACGCCAGTTGAGTCTGAGAAAGCTCATTAGCACTAATGACAGCATTAGCTTGCTGGATTTGTAACACTAACAGACTGTGCTGCTCATCTGCAAAGATACAGAAACAAAACTACCACCAGCCTAGGAGTCCTCACAGGACAGTTGAGGAGACAAAGAGAAGAAGGAGAGAAGCCCTGGTTTTCCTGTTGTGCCTGCCTATGGATGTAGAAATCTGAGGCTCAGAGAAAAACTGGTGAGCCTGAAATGTGGAAGTTTTACTCCTCTAACTGTCAGGGACTCATCCCTGCACTGAGCTTGCAGAAGCCTTAGCAAATCACTTGCCCCCCTTCTCCTGGTCAAGGAATTAAAGTTTTCCTAAATTCCTTCAGTGCGAGTACCATAAATCTAATAAATCTTATTTTATGGAGTACTGTGGTCTTTTTCAACTGCTACACTCTGGCAGGTAACACCAGCTCTTAATCTGTTTTGTTGCTGAAAGTTCAGGCACACCATTGCATTTGAGATTACACGGGATCAGCGCAGCAGGATGCCTAAGACGATGACCCCAACATCCCTGCTGGCACAACTCCCCTGCAGATGGCAATTATGCTCTTCCCGTCTTAATGCTGACTAACACGGAGGTAGCTACTGCTGCTGGCTGATCCAGGAAGAAAAACGTGTAGTCACACAAGCAGATATGGATTTGGTTTGGTGTGCATGCTCCCATCTCAGATGCTGTGGCTGCACTGCTATGAAACTGTCCTCCTCCTCCTCCTCTAGCTAGATCAAGTCAGCATCCACATGAATAAAGCTGCACTGGCATTTTTAATCAACAGCCAGTATAGCTCACAGGAAGCTGGCAAACCATTTCAAGCAGGGACCAAGAACTCCCATCTTCCTTTTCCTCCATCTTGCTTTAGACATGCCACTAACGCAGAATTTCTCATAAACATTTAAGTGAAATTACTAATGCCAGTGCAGCAAGGTTCCATCCTCCCACTGCAAAGCCAGGTTCCATTAGCACAGTGAGTCCAGCTTTACTTCTAAAGAGAAGAAGAAATTTACATCAAATGCATTTTTTTAACACTTATGAATTACCTACAGCAACTCCCCTGCATGTAAGATCATGATCCCAGGATTGCTGATGCATTGGGCTGTTGAAATCACCACTGTGAATCTATCAGTTAACAGAAATTACTCGTTCTGGATAACTTTGAAAAATGCAGATGTGAGTCACATTGATTAGCACAAGGGCCAGTATTGCTGGCTTGATGAAACCTGCACTGCTAATGTGGTATGTTGAAAGGCCAACCTTTCCATCTCTTTACACCACACCACTGCTAAGCCTCCTGGCAAATGCTACTTTGCCAGACTTTGGACAAACAGATCTCATTCCTCTCTAACTGTAACCCTGCCTTGGTGCCAGATAAAAAGCACCAAAATCAAACAGCTGAGATTCTGACACGGCTGCATAGCAAGGTGACAGCTATGACAACAGAGAAACTGTCTGCAAGCAGGTAACAACCACCCGGTGGGATTATCCGCAGTGACCAACGAGTACACTGGATTTCGGTGTACATGCACTCATGCCTCAAGCTTATGGAGCTGGTAACTAGGCTGCACCTACCAGCAGATACCTGAACCTCAGCACCAGCCCTGCCTGCTAGAGGGAACACGATACACACTAACAATGTGAATTACATGCAACTTGCTTTGCCCTCTGAACTGCCTTGAGAGCTATACTTCGTTGCATCATCACTCAAAAAAAGTAGTTTCTGAACTTGTACTGCTTAGTCACACAGGAAGACATTTTGCAGAGAAGTTTCCTGGGTTAGGTGGGAGAGTTGTTCCCATGCTGCTTTAGCAGCAACTGAAGAACCAGATATTTACTGTTCTAGGGTGTGCAGGGGGTATAGGGAAACAAGGGACCCCTTCCACAAAAAATCTCTTGCTAAGTGCAGCATCAGCATGCAAAGCACAACAGATTAACGTAACCTCACACAGGGCCTAATCCTAAAAATCACATTTCTGATGAAATTCCCACTGCCTGCTGTGAAAACTCCATGTATGAAACTACCAACCAGCTGTGCTGCAAAAACCCAAAGCTACAAGTTGACCAATACTGTACTCAATTTCACAATTTCTTTCCAAGTGCTATGAATAAGAAGTCCTATCCCAACTACTGCTTGCAAATAAAGTTTAAAAATGTTGATATCAATAGGGTGTGGGGTTTTTTTCCTTGTTTTTTGTTTGTTTGTTCTTATTCTAGTACTCAGCCTAATGTATTTTTCCACCACATGAACTCTTGGGAAGTGTTGGGTGAAAACAGATTTCTTAACCTCATTAATTCCTCAAGCTCTGTATGTTGGCAAAGAGAACCCCTTAAAAGGCGTGCAAGGGACATTAAGTGAAACAATATTTTTCTGAATGGCTTAAAATAATTTTCCATGTTTGTATTTTGTAGTTTTTCAATTACTTTTACTACTTCATCTGCTTTTTTTCTCCCCTCACTTGCTACTGAGCAACAGATGCACATAGAAGGGAAACAGAGAAGATGACTATTTCCAAAATACGGGCAAGTGTACGAAACCAACATACTAAGTTTGAAAATAGAAATTTTTGCTTTCTCCTAAATCCACAGCACATAGATTGTCCAGGCTGTATCTTTTATCTCCTGCTACTACCTTTTCAGAGAGAAGAGTCTCCATTGAAGCCTGGGTGCATCTGTCTGTGCTGAGTATGAAGACGCTTTCCACACAGCACTGGCTGGAACCAAGTGCCTGGGATGCCAGGTAACTGCCCCACACATCAGCCTGCACACGCTTTCCTGCACGCTCCGAGAACACCTTTGTAATTAGGGCTTTGCCTCATCAACTATCTAACGCCGAGTAAGTGTCCTGCACCTCAAAAGGGGGCCAGGGCTCTCGAGTCAAACGGGGCTGGCAGGCAGGCCGGGGATGTGTGGGGGGATGTGGGGAAGCCCCCCCCCTCTGCAGCCTGCCTGTGGCTGCCCAAGGCCCGCCACAGCTGGTGGGAGTGCTGACTCAGCGCTGACTCACAGGAGGAGTGCCCTGTACTGAATCACCTCTGCCACATCCTGCAGCACCTGGCATTTTCTTTGGAAGTCTCACAACTGATATTACCAGGCTTTTAAGCTTTCACTGGTAACAGAATACAATATAGAGTGGCTACAGGCCAACAGCGAGGTTTTAAAAGGTTTCTGACAGAAACTTGAGAGACAGAGAGAGGCAAAAAAGAAATTCACTCAGTGCTGGCCAAAACCCAAAAGCATTTGCCTCGTACCTTAGGATGACACAAGCAAACTCAGTAAGAAGCAATTGCAACTACTTAAATGAGGCAGTGAGTATGCTGACTGAACTCCCTAACTAGGCTTTTAAGTGCTAATGCCTTTGGGGAAAAAAATCCTCTCCATCCACACTCCACAGAGGCCACATGCACTGAGCTAGCTGTTTCTTCTCTTCTTAGGCATCACAAACTCATGCTCCATGTCAGTATTAATTTCAGACTGCCTGAGACCTCAGAAATCAAGTGAAAACCAATCCACAAGGATTGCTAAAAAAACAGGTGAGATAACAATTTCTTAGTAGTGAAAGTCTGAGCAAGAAGAACCAACAAACTGAACAGCTGAATACAAAATTTTAAGTGCCATGGGTTAGGATTTGGATTAGTGAGCACAGACAGCACCCAAATGACCACCTACCAAGACCGAGTTTCAGGGGGTGCTGGAATGAAACCTTCCTCCCCTGTCCACCTTGAGGGCTGAGGCAGCTCACAGGCCTCAGAAGAGGGAAGGTGCCTGGGCAGGGAGAGTGAGGGTGGGGAGGGAGGGAGGGAGGGACAGAGGCAGGCAGTTGCACGTTCTCACCTGAGGCCGCTGTAGCATTTGTAGGGGTTGAAGCAGCTGCTTGGTTCCGGGCATGAGCAGGGATGAGGATCGAAGCCAGAGATGGGTTACTTGACAGTTCTGGAGGGGAGGTGGAACAAACAGAGTTAGCTCACAGTCCACAAAGAGCCCTGCATGCAGGCTCAGCTCCTTGGGTTTCCCCTCGTAATGACGACCTTGGGTGAAACATGTGCCCCTACAGCCAAAGGTCACCTTACATTTCCTTCTCTGCTGATCACGGAAAGGAAACCACTGTGATATTTGGCAAGGCAGTCTCCAGAGCAAGACTGTCAAAAAAAGTAGTGGTGCAAGGGAATTATTTCCTAGAGAAAGACAGAGGCTTGGGAGTTAGTGGAGAACCAGCTAGGCCCGTTCCTTATTAACAGCCTAATAATGCTGTTTCCTTGTGACCACTGGAAGGATTCCCCTGCACAAACCCACTTGCCATCAGTCTCAAGGAGCAAGCTGTAACAGTAGTGCTGCTTTGGGCAGCAAGCAAGCAGCTGCAACAGTTGCTTCAAGAGCTTCAGGGATGTAGTTCTTCGGCTCACTCAAGCCTCACTTTCTCAAGGTCCCAGGAACCCAAGACCAATCTCTTTGGGCAAGCCCAAGAAGAAGTGACATCTCCTTTAAAAGCACAGGGAAAGGCAAAGGGAATTGGTCTGCTGGGCAATTTAAATGGACAACAAAATGATGCAACCACTCCCTCTGAAGACATTAACCAACAAAAAATAATCACGTCTCAGGCTCTAAATCTAATACAACTTCAGTGTGTATTGGAATGAGAAATAGGCATATTACAGCCACAACTGTGGGAGGAATTAAGAGCAACACATTGCCAACAGATGACAATCTTCTGGCACCCTTTCAAGAGAATCTAGTGCCTCACAGAAGGTGGGACTTAGCCTAGACAAGAGATGTCCTGTGTGTTTCAGAAAAGGAGCAACTGGCTGTCTCTTGAGAAAGCAACATCCAGTAAAAAGGATGTTAACAGTCACCTCACGGGAGGAGACTGGTGACTTTTGGAGTTCCAGGAGGTCATCTGGAGGCAAAATGAGAATAGACAGTTTTTTTTACAAAGGACCTCCAGACAGCAAGGGCCGTACAGAAACCCATCCACATCGTGTCACTGGTGCAGTAAGGGTGTTTTGTACACAGTATTAAATTATTTGGGCTCATTTTAAAAGCTTGTTACTTTTCATTAATTCAAGCTTTCAACTTAGGTCTTAAAGAGATCAGTTGTGCACTTGGTAAATTTTTTTTTCTCCATTAAGTTGCACTATGTTTCTTTACTGCTAGGAAGGCAAGATGCAGAAGACTCTCACCTGCTTTAAAGCCTCTGAGCACTATACATTTTGAGACTGCATTTCAACACTTAGAAACACAAGCTCCATTCTACAACCCAACAGCAGTTGCTACATTACCTGCAACCCATCCAATCCATTCTGTAATACTGCATTCAGATCTAAGCAGACCTAGCTAGTCCTCCTAGAAAGCCTCAATACTCACAGCATTTATACATACTAGTCCTCAAATTCTTGTGGGAATAATTCAGAATACACATATTCATAATTTAATTCAGAACTCCTAAGTCTCCATTTTAAACAGAAAAATAAACTGAAGAAACATGAAGATTCAAGTGTCAAAGCTGAACACCAGTGATAAACCTATATTTTAATACTCTCTTGGGTATTAGCTGCTCCATGCTAGAAAATGTTGCTCCTCTAGTATTTTTCTCCAAAGCTATTTCTCAAATCTGTTATTACTGGGAATCTGTTGTTTCCCTTGCTCTTTTGAAAGTTTCCATTGTTCCCACATTATTCTCTGCTCATCGCTGGCACCGACGCGGCGCTGTGACGCCAACGAAAGCAGAGCTAACAAGTCAGGGGACCCAAAGGACATCTGCTACCTGGCGGTGCTCGGGGTGCCTGGAGGACGCAGCCGCAGCCCGCCTGCACCACTGCAGCCCCAGGACCTGCTGCTCCCACAGAGCAACACCCCTCCAACAGCACTCCAACCCCGTTCTTGGTCCTCCCATAGTCACCTAATGCTGTCAGAACACCTCCTTTCGCAGCACCAATCACTGCAAGTATACTGGGTTTTGTTATTTTAAGGGCAAGTGTAACCTTCTCTGAAGCTGCCTTGAAGAACCTGCACAGAGGTCAGAAGACTGATCTTGTTCCCACCTTCTCAAACCCTATTATTATCTTTCTTGGTATGAAGTTTCTTAAATTCAGCATGCTCTGAATGTCTTGATGCTTCATTTAGAGGAGCAGGTCAATTCAGACAAGAAATTACCAAAGTAAACTAAACTCTTCTGGCCGAAGTTTAAATTTTTTTCCCCCCTCAAGCTTCACTGGAGAATTTGTTTGAAATTTTTGTTCTAGCATACTTTTGCAGCCATCTCACCTGTAAGGATGGGATGTCAATACTGAGGAAAATTTAGCTTGACCTCTAGTATCTGCAGAGTACAAAATATTGAGAACCTCTGTTCTCAGTAATGTCCAATACAGTATTAGGATGAGCTGTTGAACTGTATCCTGCTTATCTAAATCAAACTTGCACTCCAAGGTTGAGTTAATTACGTCCAATACTGCTGCAAGAAGGTATTGAGATCAAGGCAATCCAGACAAAGTTTTCAATACCAAGATGTGAACAGAGCAGCTATCCCAATTCATTTCATGAGACCCAACTCCCATTCACATCACCTGGGGGAATACCTTTGGCTTTCTCCTGATCAAATAGTTCCATTTGCAGAGTTTACACC